AAAAAAAAAAAAAAAAAAAAAAAGTGGGATATATGTCATTAGATTTCTATAGGAATTAAATGCTATATTAGAACAAATAATGTTTAGAATGCCTAGCACTTTACACAGTATTTGCTCTTGAAATTACCATCACTGCCAAAAAGAATAACTTTAAATGCTCTACTGTCCAATACTTATCAAAATTTCAGACAAAAAGAATTAATATTTACGAAAGACTGCCTAAATCTGTGTAATGCATCCATTTCTTCAAGTCACTTGGTCTCAATTCTGTCTACGCATCAGAGTAACATACAGAGCTTAAAAAAAAAAAAGACAAAAGCACACCCCAGGGCTCCACCACACTCCTGAGATTCTAATCCAACAGTCCAAATGTTTCCGTTACACGGATCCAGGCCGAAAGCCAAAGCTAGAGGAACATTTCCTTGGGTAAGGCCCAGTTGCCAGTGAGCTGTCCACCTGTACTGTGCTGGCTCTCTTTGCAACTGTGCTTACTGAACTGAGCTTGGAGCCAGGCCGCCTGCCTACCTTGAAAAACCTTACACATTTACTACCTTCTGCAGAGTCATCTTTCAGGACCCAGGAAAGAAAGTTCTCTTGGGTCTTAGTTCCGGCCATCGTTCTGCTTTCATCTTGTAAACAAACACCAGTCATGTAACTGATGGTGTTTCACCTGTTTGCATGGGCTGCTAGTAAGTTCAGAACTCTGGCAAGTGAGATGGACCTTAAAGCCTGTATTTAATAAAATAATTTTACCCTTCCCTTCTTTGTTTTTCCTTCCCTTCACCCTGGAATTTCCTTATTTTTCTTGTTTTGTAATATAGTTGTTTTTGTAAGTCATCTCAAGGCTTTTTTTTTTTGTAAGAAGATAGGAGACAAAATTGATCATAGAACACATAATCCTGCTGCATGACGGCTAATTTGATGTGACACTCTCCATCTGAGTATGAGATGGGTCACTTCACTGGGTTCCAGCACCTTAGCATAACATGCTTTATAGGTGCTCAGTAAGTGTGTAAGTGTTCTCTCCCCTCTATTAAATAGTACTGCATACTTTAGCCACTCAAATTTATTTAATTAGTTAATCCATCAAATGAGATTTCTTGCATATAGAGCTGAAGATCAGCAAGGCTAATAATGCCAAGGTAAGTTTGTTCTCTATTGTTTTTTATTGAAAATATAAGATGATTCTGTCATAAGACCACGCTTTTGTGAGCTGGTCTAAGAACCTCATCAGCACCCACTTCAACGAGAACACAACCAACTTATAAATATGCTATTGATATACAAACCATTTGTAGGCAACGGATACTCAGGAGATAGATAAAACAGAAGCGTTTATCTTTCGTGTGTTAACCAATAAATCAGATTTTCAACCTACCAAGTTGAGTCTTCTTGCAACAGATTTGAAGGACCATGCCATCCCTCTAATTCATACCTGTCATGTCATTATTATCCCAATGGCGCCGCTGCTCCGCCAGTCTTTGCATTCGTGTTTTCACTGAGGAGCCTGCCCTCGCTTCCAGTCTTGAGTTAAGCCCTGTCCTCACGCCCGGCAGCGGTGCCGGGACAGCCTCGGGATCACTGACAGGAGCTGGCATCTGTGGCTGTGCCCGAGGAGGCAGAGGACTTGGAGGACAGGCTTTTGCAGAAGCTGACTCTACTGGCTTTTCATTTTCCAAGTTAGAAACTTCTACTTCAGCGTTGTCAGAACAGCGTTTTTTTGATGGTGATGGTTTTGTACAAGATTTCTCTAGATTAAAAAGGACACCCCCCCAAAAAAAACATTCAGAAGTCCGCCATTTCTCATAGCCTAAAAAACTTGCAGTAGGTACATGACAAATTATTTTAAAAACATCATGTTTCTCTAGACTCTTTAAATGATTTTCCTTGCAACAAGAAATATGTAAAATTCTACTTTTAGTGACTTAGAAATCTGATATGAAAGATTTCTTTTTCAGCAAATATATAATTTCTAGTTTAAAACACCTGAATGAAAAGATATTCAAATAATATTCTCCAGACATATGCCTGATACTTTATGTAGTCTTAAGACGCTAGGAAATGAAAAGTGCATACACATATAATAAGCAAATGTTTTGAATGATTTCAAAGATCACACAGCCCAATTACCTCATTTTTAGATAAGGAAAACCAAACGCAGAGCAATTATGTTACCTGCCTAAAGCAACACAGCTAAGGGTAGAAACAGGCTTTCTGTTTTTAAAACAATCTTTCGTGAACCATACCATATACATGCAATATATATGTATCATACACACAATATATATATACAATAAATACCATGTATGTCTGACATATAGGTCACATATGTGTAATATATATACCATGCATGTGTAACAAATCACGTGTGTAATATGTATACCATATATATGTGATATATATGGTATTCCTTCCTTCAAAATGTATAAACATATGAAAATAAATTCCTATTCTATGGTTAGCTTACAAAGTAACTGTGAGCCTGCTCCATGCCCCCATCTCTTGTAATATTGATTTTGCCTTCTGTAATGCTCTTTTTCTATTTGTATTTTTAAATTTATACTAAGGAAAATTATTATCTCCAGACTATTCCACACTCTAGGAAAACACTAAAGCAGCCAGCTTACTGATGCAGGCTGGGGATGCCAGTATTTAGGAAAGAATAAGTTAAATTTCTAGGTGAGTTTAGGTTTGTTTATTTGTGTGTATTTATTTGTTTTTGTTTAATTCACTGGTTCTTAAATTAACAACCTATACATCGAGCCTAGCTCTAGAGAGCTGGTTCAACTGACAGAGGATGAGAATACTCACTAAATATCAAGCATCTGTGAGCAGGTAAGCCTTTCGCTGCCCTACTCATGCCAGAGACACTATCTGAACTGGGTGGTCAGCTATTCTGGCATCGTTGGGGTGGATAAAGTCCATGCCACCACTGTGTAATTAAGTGTTCCCCTGCTCCTTTACTTTTCTTCCCTTGGGGGTTTTAAATAACCTTAGGTTGAGGAAAATAAAGTTCAACCAATTAATTTGAAGTATTTATTAGATACTCTGCTCTGGCCTGGTAGTTCTAGGCCTAATATAACAGACCTAAAATAGAACAGAAGGCTGATCTTTCCCCAGAGGCTATTATATATTTGTCTCCCAAAGACCTTGGTTTTTCTACATGCACTATAAAATGTTTGGGGCTGATCTCCTTTAAAAGATGCAAATTTTACTTTTCCCCACAAAGTCTTTTACCTTCACTACCAGGTAGAGGCTGTTGGTTACTTGCTTCAGAAAGTGGCTCTCTGGTTCTCTTAGCATGCATGGCAGACCTTGCTGCTGCTGTGGGCCTCTCAGCCATCTTTCTCTGAAGATTCTCTCGCCTGGCACGGGTTCGTTCAAGCAGTTTCTACATATATATCAGCATTAAAACACAAGTTTAGTCAAAAGTTCACAAAACTTGAGGCACCTTCTAAAATCACTAATTGCCATGTAGGATAAGTTAAATACATTTCAAAAATGGGATCCTAAGTAAATAAGTTAAAATTCACCAAAGAAGCACCCCAATGTCAAAATCATTACATGGATGCCTGGGTGGCTCGGTCAGATAAGTGTCCAACTCCTGATTTCAGCTCAGGTCACGATCTCATGGTTCATGAGTTTGAGCCCCACGTCAAGCTCCGCATTGACATTGCAGGGCCTCCTTGCGATTCTCTCTCTCTCTCCCTCTCTCTCTGCCCCTCCCCTGCCTGCTCTCTCTCTCTCGAAAAACACTAATTTTTTTTTTAACTATTACAGGTGTAATATGAATAAAATGTGTAAAGTTGGTTTATGAGATTTAAAATAACCAGAAATTTTTTCTGCTTTTCATCAAAAGGTAGAATCTATTTCCACACCCTCAAACTGGGCTGGCCTTATGATTTACTTTGACCAACAGAATGTGGCAGAAGTGATACGGCATGACTTCCAACCACAGGCCCCAGAGGTCTTGTGGTTTCTCTTTGCACTCTCTTGGAACGGTGCCATGAGGTGTAGAGACACCTGCCCAAGACTGCACAAGCCTGCTAGAGACACCTGGCCCAGCTGAGAGCTGGCATCAACCACCGGACCGATGAATAAGGCCATGTTAGAGCATCCAGTCCCAGCTAATTTGCCAGATCACTGCAGACTCCTGTATGACCTCTGGGGACACCACCAGAAGCACAGCCTAGCTGAGCCCAACACAAATTGCTGAGCCACTGAATCAGGAACTAACGTGGTGGTTGTTTTAAGCACTTTGGTAGGGAGAATAACAGTCCCCTAAGATGTTCATTTCCTAATTCCCTGAACCTGTGAATGTATTACTTTACTTGACAAAAGGGGCTTGGCGGATGTGATGAAGAATCTTGAGATGAAAAGATTATCCTGCATTATTTAGGTGGGCCTAATGTAATCACAATTGTCCTTCTGAGAGAAAAGTCAGGAAGGTCAGAGAAGATGTGACAACAGAAGCAGAGCTTGGAGTGATGTGATTGGTGGCTCTGGAGATAGAGGAAGGGGCTACAAGCCAAAAAATGCAGGTGGCCTCTAGAAGTTAGAAAAGGTAAGGAAACAGATTCTCCTCTAGAGCCTCCAGAAGGAACACAATCCTGCCAACACCTTGATCTTAACCCTGTAAAATCCATCAGCCTTATGATCTTCAGAAGATAATAACTATAGGTGATTTTAAGCCACTAAGAGTATGATAATTTGTTATAGCAACAAAGCTAATACAGCCACTAAGATTTGGTATAATGGTAAACAGCAAAAGATAATGGACATATTTAGTTCTTTGAAAACCTGACATCTCCTAAGATGATAGAAAAAAAAAAAAAGCCAAGCTAAAAAAATCCCACATTTTATTTAATTGAATATCAATACATAATAAAATAATCTTGAGTTGATATCTTAACCATTCCATAAAATCAGGATTACTCTTTTCTTACCCTGAATCAATTAATGCTTCTATTTGAAACAGTGTAGTTGAACAAACACAAGATCCTATAAAACAATTCTTTCTCTTTCAAAAGTATACAACTAAAGGAGATATGAGAATTATTGGCTGGAGTTTATACACTGCCCTGCACACACAGATACAGTAGTTAGCACAGACTAAGGAATTACATTCCCATTTGACCTTTTTAATTGCTTAATTAAAAATAGAATAATTATTCTTTAAAATTCCTCTGAGTGAGGCGCCTGGGTGGCTCAGTTGCTTAAGTGCCGAGCTTTGGCTCAGGTCATGATCTCAGTTAGTGAGTTTGAACCCCGTGTTGGTCTCTGTGCTGACAGCTCAGAGCCTGGAGCCTGCTTCAGATTCTGTATTTCCCTGTCTCTCTACCCCACTCATGTTCTCTCTCTCTCTCTCTCTCAAAAATAAATAAACATTAAAAAAGATTAAAATTCCTCTGAATGTGCAAAAGAAATGGAGCTAAATTTAGAGGAAGGCACAACTCTCCACTTTTCTTAGGAATGATTTCTCATTCAAAGAGTGACACTAAACCTAAATGCTGTATCACTGTAAGTAATTTATGAACCAAATGCCTTCCAAAACACAAGACATTTACCCTTTAAATAAAAGTCTTCAACAAACTCAAAAGCAGTATTGTTACACCAATTCATATATATATATATATATATATATATATATATATTCCCCCATAATAAAATATATCACTACCCAGATAAAAAAAACTAGCCTAATTTTCTTCGTTCATGTACATGTTCACATTCCATTCCCGTCAGTTAGAATACTTGTGAGTCAGTATGTTTTCAGTTACTATGAGCAAGAGGTTGGTCACAAAAGAATGCAGCTCTGCCATTCAAACATATACAAGTACTCTATTGTCTACATTAGATTCAAAGATTTCAAAATCTATTAAAATAGGTAAGCAGAAGTTCCCTAATCTATAAAATAAAGGCCAAAGATTAATTTAAAAGAAATGTATCTAAGGGACAAAAACTCAACAGCTCAATAAGTCTAAGTCCCTATAATAATGCATCAGGAATCCAAGGGTTCTTTATTTATAAAGTATATTCCTTCAAATATCACACCTCCTGCTTTAAATAATAAAGGCATTAAAAAAAACTGCAATAACTAACGAAACCAGGAAATAAGACATTCCATGTGGATGAATCTAAAATAACTGAAGCTTACAGTCCTTAAGCAATTTCTGCCACACATACACCTCAAATCGTTAGACAAAAATCTTTTTAGGAGGTATTGCTTATTTCCCTGCCTTCTTAAACAAGAGGCTCAATATAAACTAACTCATTATTTTCAATATGCTCTAGCAGCATCCTTTCCGAGGTCAATACAGAGATTTTCATTTAATTCTGAAAAATAAGAGAAATTTAACAGCATGTTCATTTATTTATTGCACAAGAGAAGATGTTTTACAGAGTATTTTAACTGTAGCTTTTCTCTTTTAAGGGTCCTACACAGAAAGCTCTGACTCAGCACGGCCAGCCATGGGGTTCCCTATGACGGTCTTAGGGAATGGCCATCCCCCATGAGATCTTCAAACTAAGAGGCTAACGCTAATGTTATGAGCATTAAGTTTATGGTTTTACATTCACCTAATGGCAAGCACAACAGCACCAATATTTATGTAAGTACTTTCAGTGTCTGCACACAAAATCTCATTTCATTTTCAAAATTTTGCTTGGCAGGTTCTGTTTTTACTACTGTTTTCACAGATGAAGGAACCCAGGCACAGGTTAAAAAACAAGCCATAAGTCTCATAGCTAAGTGGTAAGTCAGGATTCAAACCCAGACTCCAGAGTTTGAGCTCTTAACCACTTGGCTATAAACTGTCTTTTGATTAAACCCAATGTCTCTTTTTTAAGAACTTATTGTCAGGAGCACTAACTTCATATCAACATAACTTTTTAAATGTTATTTATTAGCTGATCATAATAATAAACAATAAACATCTGCCTTAACTGCTTGTTCATCCATGAACCAAGATGGCTTCTTTATTTCTGGTTCTTCCAGGAAGAATATAGAAAGACATTGCCCTGTGGACCCTGCCTAGATCCTGATTCAAACAAACTGCAAAACCATGACACTTAAGGAAATCTGAATATTGACAGAATATTTGATGATATTAAGGAATTGTTGATTTTTTAGATATGATAATGGCACTATGATTTTTTTAAGTCCTTAGTGTTTAATGATATATATATATATATGTATATGTGTATATATATATATACACACACACACACATATATATGTGTGTGTGTGTGTGTGTGTATGAAATTATATAATCTCTAGAATTTGCTTCCAAATAATTCAGTGGGAGGGATTAGAGGGGAGTACAGTGAAACAATACGGTCGTGTGTTGCTGGGTGATGAATCTATGAAGAATCATTACACTTGAGTAATTTGAAATTTTCTACAAGAAAGGAAAGAATATGGCTAAAACGTTCTAATAGTTACTGTTGTACATAGTTATTTGTTTGTAAAATAATTTGCACTGAATGGCTCTCTTTATTATTTCAGCAGAATGTTATTGGATGTGCTTGATGTTAGGGAAACATCCCTCTGAATAGGAAAGAACAGGCCTGCATTCATGAAGCTCACATTCTGGCAGGAAATATATTCAACAGGTAAGAACAGTGCAGGGAAAGCACTGCAAAAGGTGATCTGCCCCCTGAAGAAGGGAAATCCAAGTCCGAGCTGGAGGTTACATCAGTTTGCCAGGTGGAAGAGACAGGGAGAGGAAGAGTGTGCCAAACAGCACTGGTGACAGCAGGGAGAAGCAATGCACAGCCTTGTTTTAGAAAAGAAACTTTAGGATGGTTGTGGCTTTCTCAACCAGAGTTATCAAGAGAATTAGCCCTAATGCCCTGACATGAATGTAATGAATTAACATTTCTCCTATGCTTATAGGATGGCATGGTGATGAGTCACCTTTGGGAAAATTAACAAAATAGCCTCTCAAATCATTTTCTGTGTTCTGTGGTTCTGATAAAGAACTCTGGTTGAGAAAGTCATTTTAACTTAGTTTCAGTCCTTTTCAGACAAAGAACTGCACCAGTTCACTTCCCTGTGCAAGAATGTTATGAATGCTATAATTAAGCACCTAGTCCCTGAAACCATTTCAAATAGTTCCCTCATTACCAATTAAGGAAAACAGTCAAAGCTGTTTATTCCAACTGCAACTGATCTGACTTTTCATAATATAAACCATACATATTTCTGAGCACACTCTAAAACAAAAGGTTTGTTTCAAATAAAAGTTTCTTTCAACTGAAATTTGCACTAGCTTAAGAATGGCATTGTTAAGTAAAATGAAGTACAATTTTCAGCCAACTTTCAAAATGCTTTGTTCCTGTCAGTTACTTAGGAGACTAACAGGAATATTCAAGACACATAAGGCTAATTTTTTAAGGAAGACTATTCTAGATTACTAACAAAATAATCTATCCTTTTTAACTTCAAAGTATGAGAAAAATACATGCTGCATGATCAGCCTTATTTTTTCAGGCTAATACAAAAATGTGTTCTGGGTTTTCTGTCAGATCTTTAAGTAAGTTTAACAAATTAATGTGTTTTCCCTAGATGATTGAGAATTTGAAACAAAAATACTGTTATGTTTGAATACAAGTAAACTGTAATTGTTGAAACTTTATCTTAAGATTTATGGAACTGTAAATAGAGGTTCCCCCCAAAAAAGTATTTCTACTCTCCATAGCATTTAAGTTTTGAATGTAGTGTAGAGACATCTTTAGGCCCACTCCGCAGCAACTCAAAAAAATAGCAGTTTGAAACTTGCACAACCTAAAGGAACAGGAACTGTCCTGTAAGAAAAGGGAGTGGACGAGTGGTCTACACTAAACTGCTGAGTGTGTCCATGTACATTCTTAACAAGATTGACCAAAGCTAGAGAAATAATTGACACATGATGTAATTAATCCATATTCAATTTCCAAAGGACAAAAGAGAAGTTAAAAACTGTCACTGTAATGTTATGCTCCAAAAACACACACAGAGTTTTATTTCTTTACTCTGGTTTTTTACATTGTCGGCTATTAATTTTGTTTGTATATATTCGGCCAGCACTTTTTCCTTTCCATCCAAGTGTCAATCTCGGGGATTAAATTTCTTCCCTACTTAGCTGAGCAATCAAATCTGAAGAATGTATTCACTCTATAGGAACGGATGCAATGGTTTCAGTATTGGCTTATTTAACAATTTGCCGTCATTTCATTAACAGTATCTTTTACATGCATAACACCTCTTCGGGCGACCCGAACCCCGCAAATCACATTCCATTTGCAGGCGGCGACTGCACACAGCACTGAGTCATTCAGGCACCCGACTCCACCCTACACCTTATCCTCGCTTTCCCTTCCAGCAGGACCAGTTCCGCCCAGGCCCCAACCTCACTCTCGGAAGGGACGGGGCTCCATTTCACAGGGCGTTACAACAATCGGGGCTGGCAGAGGGCTCTCCGGTAACGCCTAAAAGGACAGACTCAAAACGTCCCTCCCTGAGCTTCACTGCCGGACAGCAATAAGTAAACCGCGGACGAACAGCAGCCGCAGAGTAGGCGACGTGCGCCCTCCAGCCCCTTCTCTCCCACGGTTCTCCCAGCCGCGTCCCGCACACACACGCTGCGCACGCGCGCGCACGCGCCCTCGGCCCGGTGGGCCCAGAGGTCGGCAGAAGGTGGGAAGGGTGGGTAGGGGCTGAGAGCCGGGATGGCAGGCTGCGCCCGCAAATTTTCTCACCTCGGTAAACGGGTCCATCGCCCCGGAGTTCGCGTGTTGATTGCGAGACGACGGAAACGGTGGTTCAAATTCAGTAAAAGAAAAGTGAGTCCCGATTCAGTGTGTCACTTGAAGAGAACCAGAAGGCCGGGGCGGGGAGAACTCTCCCAAACTACTCTCCTCTATCCCTCAGCCTCCAGTGTCAGATTCGGCCTCCTGCGGCCGTTCAAATTTGAATTTCAGCGCCCGTACAGCGCGCCTGCGCGCGGGGCGGAGAGGACACGCCTCGGCCCGCCCCGGCTCTCCGTCACGTGGCTTTGACGGGCGCGGAGGTTCCCATGGGTGGCTGGCTTTTTCTCAGTCACACCCCAGCCCTGGAGGCCGGGATGCGGCAGGAGGTGCGGCTCCGCTCCAGCCGTCCTCCGGCCGTCCTCCAGCCGCCTCGGGACCGAAGCCCCACCCCCAACGCTCGCACAAGCCATCCTGTTTAAGCTGATCTTTTGGAACCCGTGGTACTTGGACTTTCTTGCCTTCCTTCCTTCTTTAATATAGGATTAAGAGGCCTTGTGTTTGAAATCCCACTGCCCTTTTGGCCTTCTGTAGCTTGCTCTTCGCTCGCTTTCACGTCACCCTGATGGAGACTGCAAGCTTGCCCTCATGAGGGCCCTAGTGGATCCTCGAACACTTGGGGCTAATGATCAGTGACCCACCCACCTGGGGCCCTGAAGACCTTTCTTATTGGGAAAATAACATTAACAGACCGTGTGTGAGAAGTTCATACACAGAACTCCTGTCTGCCTTCCTATTTGTTATATTAGAGCAGGCATGATCTCGAAGAGGGGCAGAGGGAGACAGAAATCTTGAGGATCCATACTCAATGGAGAGCCAGACATAGGCGCTGGACCTTAAGACCCTGGGATCTGACCTGAGCAGAAATCAAGAGTCAGATGCTCAATCTCAATTGTCTGAGCCACTCAGTAGCTTCCTATTTTAAATTCCATCTGAATTTATACAGTGTTAGAGCTGGAAGGATTGAGAAGCCATCCACCTTAATCCTTTTACAGCCAAGAGCAAGGAGACCCTGAGACAAGTAACTCTTGTCCAGGAGAAATGAAAATCCCATTCTCAGCCCATGGTACCCTTTCCACCAGGAGATCAAACTGTGTCTCAACAATTAATCTTTACAGATTACTCAGAATTGTAAAATACGTTATATAATTACTGTATCAGATTCCTTTCTTATTTAGCAAGTCTGCTCAAGGGCTTGTGAAGACAACAGTTCTCGACTTGTTCAGCTGAAAAGCAACACCATGTAGATTACGGAGTCATTTACAGAGTGACTGCCTAAAGGCTGAACAAACCAAAACTATTCCTTCCAAGTTAGATGTTTTAGTATATTTAATAACACTTCCATCTTAGCATTCAGTAGACATTACAAACAGTATTTCGCTAATAATCTCTCTGAATTTTGATGCTATAGGTTGGAGTAAAAAGAATTCTGAATGTAGAGTAGGAAGAAATTGCTTGGGGTCTTGGCTCCTATAGGACCATGTGATCTTAGGCAAATCATTTAACCCAATATTCTTTTAAACCTTTTTGGGAAGTAATGGGCCTTTTAAAAATACAAGTAAAGCTGACCCTCTACCTAGAAAAATGACCATTTAATCATAAAGTATTTGACATAGAATTTCGTGAACATCACAAAGCCCAACCAGGGGCTCAAACCCATGAACCATGAGATCATGACCTGAGCTAAAATCCTGCACTTAATCGACTTAGCCACCCAGGCGCCCTTCCAAGTTAGTAACTTCTGCTTTAGCCTCTCTGGATTTTGATTTACTCATCTGTAAAACAGGAATAATCAACTGCGCTGCCTTCCTCAGAGTTGTCAGGAAGATCAGATGAAAAATTGAGAGTTCCAAAAGTATTCTGTAATCAGGCACCACCCAAGTGTTTAGTGTATCAAATTATTAATATTTAACTCCAAATATGCTACTTATGCTCCAAAGTAAAAATGTTTGAATTTTTCTCACTGCTCGACAGGAAAGGGGTGTGTGTGTGTGTGTGTGTGTGTGTGTGTGTGTTGGAGAGGAGGGAGAAGAGTGTGTGGTTTAAACAACATTGGAAAAGAAGGCATTAGAAATTTACATAGTCTTTGTGCCTTCCAGCCTTGGCTTCTGTGAGGCTTAGATTCTTTATAACCGGATTCTAGTCAAGACTAAAAAAGATGCATAAAGCACATAGTGCAATTTAACTACTCCAAATATTAGTTTATCTTTCTTCATGTCTTTTAATCTTTACACTGATGACGATTGATGATGACAGCAACCACCACAATAGTTACAACTTGTTAAACACCTACCAGCTACCAGAAGCTGTGCTAGATACTCAAGTCTACTCTTCCTAGAGTACAGCGACTGTTACCTAACATGTCACCTTTTTTTCCATTCTTACCCCCTGGTAGTTCATTCTTCAGTTTATAAGCTAGAATTACTTTTCTTCTTTTAAAACTTGTGTTATAAAATATTTCCAGTTTACAAAAAAGTAATGAATAAAACAGATGACTATGTACCCACTACCTAGCTTAAAGAAATATATAATCCTATACTTGAAGTCTCCTGTGTGTCCCTTCTTAATTCCATTCACGTTCCGCTCCCCAGGGACAAAACTATCCTGATTTTAATGTTTTTCATTCCCATGAAATGTATGTACTTTTATTACATCTACATATATATCCATAACAATATATTGTTTTACATAAATTTTTTAACTATATCTTTCTGCAATTGTTTATTTTTCTGCTCAGTATCCTTTTTATGAGATTCATGTCAGTAATAGCTGTACTTCATTGATTTTCACAGCTGTATTATATTGTATGAATATACTTGCAATTTGTGTATCCATTATCCTGTTAATGGATGTTTAGCTCATTTCAAATATTTCATCCCAAAGATTCTGTGATGCCATAAATATTTTTTAATGTTGTATTTTTATTTATTTTTGAGAGAGAGAGAGCTGGGGAAGGTCAGAGAGAGAGGGAGACAGAGAATCTCAGCGCAGAGCCCAATGCAGGGCTTGATCTCATGAACCATGAGATCATGACCTGAGCTGAAATCAAGAGTCAGACACTTAACTGACTGAACCACCCATGCACCACAATGCCATAAATTTTTTATGTCTCCTTATATACACATGCAAAATTTTATCTAGAGCAATATACCTAGGAATTAGAGGATCATTTCGATAAATGTTTCAATATTATTGCCAGATATTAAAAATAAATTACTGTTCAAAATTATTGTCACAATTTTTAACTTCAGTCGGCAGTGCATGAGCATGCCTACTACTGCAGGGCCTCCCTAACTGTCAGATACTTTTTAGATTTTGCCATTCTAGTCTGTATTCACTTTTCCTATCACTCCTGATCTTGACCATTATTTCATGTGTTTCTTGGCTTTTCAGTTTTCCTTTTCTGTGAATTTCAACTCTATGTCCTTTGCCATGCAGCTATTTGATTTTTTCTTGTTGATTCATAGGTCCCCCACCTTGGGTAAAGAGATTATTTTTTTAATCTAATAATTTATTTATTTTTTATAATTTACATCCAAGTTAGTTAGCATATGGTACAACAATGATTTCAGGAGTAGATTCCTTGATGCCTCTTACCCATTTAGCCCATCACCCCTCCCACAACCCCTCCAGCAACCCTGTGTTTGTTCTCTATATTTGAGTCTCTTATGTTTTGTCTCCCTCCTTGTTTTTATATTATTTTTGCTTCCCTTCCCTTGTGCTCATCTGTTTTGTATCTTAAAGTCTTCATATGAGTGAAGTTATATGATATTTGTCTTTCTCTGACTAATTTCGCTTAGAATAATACCCTCTGGTTCCATCCACGTAGTTGCAAATGGAAAGATTTCATTCTTTTTGACTGCTGAGTAATACTCCATGTGTATATATACAACATCTTCTTTATCCATCCATCCATCAATGGACATTTGGGCTCTTTCCATACTTTGGCTATTGTTGATAGTGCTGCTATAAACATTGGGGTGCATGTGCGCCTTCAAAACAGCACACCTGTATCCCTTGGATAAAAACGTAGTAGTGCAATTGCTGGGTCATAGGGTAGTTCTATTTTTAATTTTTTGAGGAACCTCCATACTGTTTTCCAGAGTGGCTGAACCAGTTTGCATTCCCACCAGCAGTGCAAAAGAGATCCTCTTTCTCCACATCCTCGCGAACATCTGTTGTTGCCTTGATTCATAGGCTTTTTGTTGTTTGTTTAGTATTTTCTGGAAAAATAACTCTTTTTGGCTTGTTAATATCTTTTCCTCACTTATGGCTCATCTTTGCACTTTAGGATATCTTGGATGTACATAAATGTTTAATATTAATGTAATTAGATATATATTTTCATTTGGGCTTATGCTTTTTGGTCTCAAGAAATCATTCCCTACTCTGTGGTTATAAAGATGTTCTCCCATATTTTCTTCTAAAAAGTATTGTTTTCATCATTTTGCCTTTAAATTATCTAGATTGATTTTTTTTTAATGTGGATAACCAAAAGTCTTAGCCCATTCTTAATTATTTGCCCGTTCTTTCCCCACTGACCTATAATGCCACTCTTGTAATATATCAGCTTTTTATGGAGATGTAGGTCTATTTTGGAGCACTTTATTCTCTTCTACTAGTTTGGCTATTTCTCTCCCAATATCAAACTGTCTTAATTGTAAGTGTTGATATCTGGTAGATAAGTTAAAAATTAACTTGGCTTGGCTAAGTGATTTGGCTAATTTGGCCCCTTGTTATTACATATACATTTTATGATCAGATTGTCAAGCTCCACAAAGAGAAAAAAAAAGTCCTCTTGAGGGGCTCCTGGGTGGCTTAGTCGGTTAAGCATCTGACTTCGGCTCAGGTCATGATCTTGCAGTTTGTAAGTTCGAGCCTCACATCAAGTTCTATGCTGACAACTTGGAGCCTGGAGCCTGCTTCAGATTCTGTGCCTCCCTCTCTCTCTCTGTACCACACCCCGCCTC